ATATGCAAAAAAGACGCGTTGGAATGATACCTGCGCACGACGCAGGTTTACTGAACGCGACGATAAACGCGCTTCAATTTGAATTACACATTCCTGGATACCAATTTTGCGGAACTGGTACACGTCTCGCGAAACGATTAGCTTGCGGCGATCGAGGCATCAATCAATTAGACGCGGCTTGTCGCGAACACGATATCGCGTATTCGCAAAACAAAGACCTCGTCAGTCGGCACAGTGCTGATCGAGCTCTCGCCGAGAAAGCAAAACAGCGTATTACAGCAAACGATTCGACGTTCGGTGAGAAAGCCGTCGCGACCGCCGTGTGGGCAGCCATGAAGGCAAAGTCAAAATTGGGCATGGGTGTGAGAAAAAGAAAACAGTCAAAGAGAACGAGGATTTTATCTGTAGCGAAACGCGGTGGTATCCTGCCAATTTTACCGGTGTTGGGTGCGCTCGGATCTTTGATCGGTGGAGCAGCTAGCGTGGCGAAAGCAGTGGGCGATCGAAAAGCCGCTCGACGACAACTCGAGGAATTACAATGTCACAATCGCGCGATGGAGGGTCGCGGTCTGTACATTGCGCCACACAAACGTGGAGGTCGCGTGAGGAAGAGAACGAAGAGGATAAAAAAAAAACATCATGGAAGAAAACGGTAGAGGATCTTAGATTACCGATCTCCGGCATCACGACGAACGAGCAATTGCGTCGTTCGGCGTATCTTTTAAAATTGCCATTCTTCAGAGGTGTATTCATGCGCGATGCGATGCCCGCGAAACCACGTCGTAACGAGAGCGGTATCGTGTATCTCGACGATTCGACAGCCCCCGGTACACACTGGGTCGCTTACGCGAAGAGGGGAAACGAATCTGTCTACTTCGACGGTTTCGGTAATCTGAGACCACCGAAAGAAGTGGAACAATATCTCGGAGGTAACATTGCATACAACAGGCGATCGTATCAGTCGTACGATCAAAGCATTTGCGGTTAGTTGTGTCTACGGTTTCTCTGGGAGATCGATTGGAAGAGGAAAAAAGTCCTCGTGTGATAGATCGCACTACAATCCGAACAGTTCAGCGGTGGCCTTCGCGCTACGATCATGTCATTGACTCTCTCACTAATGAGAAAAAACAGTGTCCTCGCGGCGAATTACTTCCCCGCTTTGGACTTGAGCGATAGCGAATACGAATTGGGTCTTACGAATTTCGAAACGTACAACACGATATCAAACGTCACCTCCTCGAATAATAAATTCCACTTCGACACCGACGACATTACGATCACGATTCCCGTAGGTTCGTACGAATTGAACGATATCGAAAAGTATCTGAGGACCGCTATAGTTCACAATACACTACCGAGTACTATCAACAATGACGATCTCGAAGAATTAGACGAGATAGATCTAATATTCGAGGATGAAAAAATTATGGAACGAGCGAAATCTGTATTGATTCTTCGCGCGAACGAAAACACCATGAGAAGTGAGATCAAGTGTGAATATCTATTGGATTTTTCCAAAGCGAACAGTATCGGTTCATTATTGGGCTTTTCGTCTCGTATGTTACGACCGAACAAGTGGCACGTATCGGACGAACCGGTTAAAATTATGAACGTGAATATAATTCGCGTTGAGTGTAACATTACCTTGGGCACAGTATACAGTAGCGCAACTCTCTGTCGGCACCTTTGATGTTGGTGAAGCCAAAATTGTAGCGCGCATGCGCAAGTTGAGACATTACATACGGTAACGCCATCTGATCTTTTCTCTCACTTACTCTCTTAGGTTGTCGCACACACCATCGGAATTCTTTTTAACTCTTAATTCTGATTGACTGATTCTTCCGTTATGTTTTATGTTACTGTATTTCTTCTATCCTGTCCGAACCGTAGACTGTCTATAGTCCAAATAATATCTTTCTAAAGCGATGTCTACATGAGATTTGAAGATATTAAAAATTAAGCTATCAGAAATTAACAAATCATAATGGATTGTTGTCCTGGCTTAAAATTTAATCGTAAATTAAATCGCTGTTTAATTTATTGAAACATTAAAGAAATCTGATTATAAAAAAGTATAAAATTAAATTATATAATATATATGTAATTTATAAATTAAAATTAATAAACGTCCCAGGTTAAGACAGTTGAACTATACTGGTTGTTAGATATATGTATATATAAATTTATTATAATAATATAACACTGATATACGGAATATTTCAACTTTACAGAGTCATCATCAGCCGTAATTAAATTGTGAATTGAGTTAAAAATGTTTTTTAATTAATTTAATATATTGTAATTTATAAATGTATATATACATTTACATATATGTGTATGTGTGTGTATCATGTTTGTATGTATATTTACATATAAAGAGAGAATACACAAATTTATAATTACAGAACATGATGAACTTTATTTTAATATGATAAAAAGTTTATAATGTATCTATATACGCATTTTTTTATTTTTTAAGTTTTTTTTACTAGATCTTACTGTAATTATACTCAATCTATAGTCTGGAAAGAAAAAAAGAAAACATATAGAAAAATTAAGAAATTGTTTATTATAAAATCTATACGCAGTTTACATACAAAATCGATAATATGCGATTTTAAACATGCTTATGTATAGATAAATATCACTTGACTTCACTTTATTTTACTTCACTGCACTTCACTTCACAATAATCCACTTCACTTTACTTTTTTTCACTTCGCTATCAATATCTACAACAATTTACAGGACATCACTGACGAATAAAAGCATACGAACTTAATACTGCCGTTACCACCAATTGCTACACAAACACTTCAACGGTTAAGAAAAAGACCGAAAACGAAAACACAAAGAATAAGTGAGAGAAAAGTTCAGATGGCGTTACCGTATGTAATGTCTCAACTTGCGCATGCGCGTTACGATTTTGGCTTCACATAATGAATAGAGTTGCGCTACTGTATACTGTGCCTTGGGTGCGTACAACAACGACAGACCGGTACACACAATACACGAATTCGCGGCGAACGTTCCTCCAGGGTATAAACCATCCGTTACTCCGGCGCACGTCATTTATCTCCCGGTCATCGCACGAAACATTACCGATATAACTGTCCGTTTTACACTCGATAAGTGTAGTGGATCAAAACGGACAGTTGATCGACTTTCGCGGCAAAGAGATATCATATACGACGTAAACGCTAGGAAAACTATGTTCGAGGGTGGAAGATGCTCGTCCTGAACGATTCGTACGACGGAGTGAACGTATCGCAAACATCGACATTGTGGAAGCCATTCAAAAATCGATACGATCGAACGAAAAAACAAAGAAGAGGAGGTCGATTAAACTCGAGAAACGTCGCCTTTCTACGGTCCCTCGGATTCGTCGTGAGAAATGAATCGTGACATCCTGAAGATCGGAGGTGCTCCAATCTTCGACGATCGCATCGTTAAAATAGAGACTCACACTTACAATCCGTACGCTAACACTACATTCGGATACACCGATAAAATACGAATACCAATAACATCAGGTTCTCTACACGTTACCGTGCGAAAGTTCGCTCTACATCGAGGGAAAATTCGTCATAAAAAAGAAGGAAGGAAGTACCAACCAACCACCGAAACTGACGAATAACTGCGTCGCATTCATGTTCGACGAGATTCGTTACGAATTAAACGGAGTTGAAATTGACAGAAACAGAAACGTCGGTATTACAAGCACTATTAAAAATTACATTTCGTTGACAGCTGAAAGAAATAAAACGTTAGAGAATGCAGGATGGAAAATTGCATTTTCTCTAGACTCTTTGCTCGATCGACCAATAACAGCATCTGAAGAGTTTAACTTCTGTGTACCGTTCAACACACTTCTTGGATTTTGTGAGGACTACAAACGTATAGTGATAAACGCCCGACATGAACTCGTCCTGATACGTGCGCGTAACGACAACAATTGCGTTATCACTAGCGACAACGAGGAATTTACACTCACATTATCAAAAGTGCAATGGAAGATGCCGCACGTGATACTGAACGACGTAAACAAATTATCACTCTTGCGAACGTTGGAAAACGGACGATATCTCAGCATGGGATTTCGATCTTGGGATTTGTACGAGTTTCCTCTACTTCAGAGCACGACGAAGCATTCGTGGGCTGTGAAGACAACGTCGCATTTGGAAAAACCACGATACGTGATCCTTTCGCTTCAAACTGGAAAGCAAAACGTACTCTCTCAGGATATTACTCGTTTCGACGCGTGCGCGCTCGTCAACGTGAAACTCTTTTTGAACTCCGATTTTTTTCCATACGATGATATGAATGTGGATTTCGAACGTAATAAAGTCGCAATACTATACGACATGTATGAAAATTTGCGAACTCGTACTACGGCTACGAAAGAAACGAAACTTTGTTATCACTCGCGCAATTTATTTCGTCCGTGCCACTCGTGGTGATCGATTGCTCTCGTCAAAACGAATCTGTAAAAAGCGCAACCGTGGACATTCGTATCGAATTCGAATGTAGAAAAAACATTCCACCGTGCACCACGGCCTATTGCCTAATTATTCATGACAGAGTAATAGAGTACAATCCATTGACAAATGTCGTTCGTAAAATTGTCTAACAATAAAGATAACGATTTTGACGATATTACAGGCTGAGTATTTTTAATGTATGCTTCACAAAATAAACGTTATTTGAAACGAACTTTACTACGTTTATTGACACTCCTACTGATTCGTTTCTGTTGTGGTCATACACCAGATAGGAAACGGGCACGGATAAAGGATTACTCCGAGCTAGTGATCACGGCGGGCGTTGCGAGAGCGTCGATCTCAAACGTGTGTGTACCGCGTACTCTCTTATCTTACTGTCCGTCCGTCTGTCTGCATCTACAGGTGGCGCCTAAGCGCTACGTTTTGTGTCTCACTCGCACAACACCTTCCCTTTTTTTATTAAAGGCATGTTGCTGTATTACAGTTATAACATGATTCTTACTCTACACCGTACCAATTCGGCGATTTCTTTGGTCTAGCGGATTTACGCGGTGATGGCTGGCTCGCTTGTGCGTGATTATTCGCCTCGCGCTCCGCGGAACCGTTTGGAATGTTTTCTGGCGGTCGCTCGCTCGCCTGACAGTTACCTGTGCGAGAGTCTACGTGATCTTCCGCGCTCGCGGCGGTCTGATACTCTGTCACCATATCGTCGGGAACAATAGGTGTTTCACTATCGCTACAGACGGTCTCGCCCTTGTGTGGCGCCTGTACTAGATGCCAACGATTACACTGAGAAAAAAAATTGTTGACTCAACTAAATTGGCGGTCACGGGCTGTCAAGCAAATATTTTGTTAGTCGAAATATTAATGTATTTGAGTCAAATACGCAGTAGTACATTGAACAATGACTTATTTATTTCGACAGGACCTATTTTTGAATTAACAAAATATTTGCTTGACAGCCCGTGACCGCTAATTTAGTAGAGTTAACAATTTCTTTTTCTCAGTGTACGTCGCACCGCGCTGCCTCTTTCGGTTTTTATAATGTATGAGTTCGGATTTACATCTGTCTTTATAATTTCGCCATACGTACGCATGTCGATTATCCATACCTTATCGCCTGCACGGAGATTCGGGAGTTTCTTTGCTCCGTGACGCTTGTTGTATGTTTTCTCTTGCTTCTCCTTTCTCTCCTTTTCTTTTAACGATACGCGCTTGTGCTCTTTAAAAGAGCCTAAGTTTTGTGGAAAAACCGGTACGCGCGATCTGATTTTACGCGAGAACATCAATTCAGCCGGCGAAAATCCGTTTTCTAGCGGGCTCGTTCGGTACGCGAGCAAACCTAAGTACGCGTCTTTACATTTTTTTAGAATAGACTTTGCTATCTTAACGGCTGCTTCCGCTGCGCCGTTGCTTTGCGAGAATTTCGGTGAGCTCGTTATGTGTCTGAATTCATATTCATTCGCGAATTTTTTAAATTCTGTGGAAAACTGAGTTCCGCAATCGCTCCGAACTATCTCAGGGATGCCGAATCTCGCGAATAAATTTTTGCAATGTTCGATTATTTCTGCCTCGGTCATGGACTTTAACGCGCATATCTCAAAATACCTTGAATAATAGTCGGTTGCGATCAAGTACCATCTGGAACATTTAAATAAATCTAAACCGATCTTTTACCACGGCCGATCTGGAAATTCTTCTCTAGTAAATGGTTCTTTTCTGTTTCCTCTCTCCTCGATACATGCAGGACAGTTTTCGATCAAGTTCGCCAACTGTGTGCTTAAGCCTATCCACCAAACTGACTGTCTGGCTCTGTCTCTGCATTTATTTATACCCAAGTGCCCTTCATGAATCTTTTGCAGTATTTCTAGTTGCAAGGGAGGTAGTATAATTAACCGTGAGCCAAAAAACAAATATCCCTTGCAGAGGGAGATTTCCTCTTTATGCTGATAATAGGGTGATAACCCAGCTGCCAGATTGTTTTTTGAAGGCCACTTGGATAAACAATATTGTTTCAATCTTAAACATACGTAGTCGGTTTCCTGTTGTGTGCGGATTCTCTCTAAGATATCTTTTGTCGCCGGTAAATTATCTACAATAAAATTTATGTAAACATCGAGATCCTCAGAAATATCGACCTCTCTTTTTTCTTTGTTCTTTGACGGATTTCTCGAGAGAGAGTCCGCTAACACTAGCTGTTTACCCGGCACGTATACCACGCTATACGTGTAACGCATTAAACGCATCCGCATTCCTTGTAACCTTGGAGTTATCTCGTCTAATTGTTTCGTCTAATTTCGTTTATAAAATTTAAATCAGCGGCCTGTGATCGGTTTCGAGCGTTACCTCGACTCCTACGATGTAGTCTTTAAAACGATCTGTTGCGAACACTAAGGCTAATGCCTCCTTTTCGATTTGGCTATACCGTGTCTCACATGCGGTGAGCGTTCGCGATGCGTATGCTACTATTTCGCGATTACCTTCCGCATCCTCTTGGATTAATACTCCTCCTAGCCAGTAGCTAGAGGCATCTGCTTGGACAATGATTTTTTTCGCGAAATCGTAGTGAGCTAGCGTCGGAGCTTCTCGAGCGCATTTTTTTACTACGCTGAATGCTCTCTCCTGTTCGTCAAACCAATCAAAAGATACTCCGTCTTTTAGCAGCGAGTTGAGCGGTTCTAACAACAAAGATTTGTTTGGGATGAACTTGCTAATATAATTCACTATGCCTAAAAATTGTAGCAACGCTTCCTTATTTTTAGGAACCGGAAAGTTCACTATCGCATCTACGCGCTCGGGCAAGATGCTAATTCCGTATTCTGAAATTTTATGCCCCAGAAAGTCTATTTCTTGTACACCGATAATACACTTATCTTTGTTGAGCGTTATCCCGGCGCTTTCTAGTCTATCGAGCACTGTTCTCAGTGTTTTATCATGTTCCTCGACGTTTTGGCCGCATATTAAAATGTCATCAACGACAACGACGACGTTTGCTACATTGCCTAGTGCTTCTGTGAACTCTTTCGCAAAATAATCTGATGCGCAGTTTACGCCATATGGCAAGCGTGTGTGCATATACCTTCCGAACGGGGTTATGAACGTCGTCAGTTTCTGACTTTCTTTATCTAACCTCAATTGGTGATAGCCTGTCTTAGCATCGAGTTTAGAAAATATTTTCGATCCTTTTAACTTTGCGAGCGCGACGTCTATCTTCGGTATCGGGTGTACCGCGCGCCTGACGCTTTTATTGAGAACCGTGTAGTCGCCGCATATGCGTATTTCCTTGCCGTTTAGTTTCGGAACTACTACTATTGGACTGCACCATTCTGTCGGGAAATCGACTGGGACGATTACGCCCTTATTCTGTAGTGCGTCTAACTCTTTCTTTAATTCTGGTAGTAAAGGTAACGCAACTGACCGCGGGACGCTTAACGCGAAGGGTTTGGTCCCCTCTCTCAAGTGAATAGTTAACTCCTTGCTAAATAAACCTAGGCCCCTGAAAACTTTTGGAAACTCTTTTTCCACGCTTACTTTAGATTTAATGGGCTTGGTGTTAGCATTTCTTATTCCATAAACTAAATTAAATCCCCTTATTTCCGGTTTCCCCAGCAAATTTTGCTTTAACCCGCGCAAGACGTAAATTTTGCCTTCTAATTTCGCGTCGTCTTTAATTAAATTCACGTTACAATAGCCGATAACTAATAATCTTTTCCCGTCAGGCCCGAAAACTACTTTATCGGTCGGTAAAATTTTACGCTTAAAATTTTTCGGTATCGACTCGCTCGAAATGCAAGTTATGTCAGCGCCCGTGTCTATGAGAAATTCTTCCTCTTTCGCGAGCTCAAGAATCTTTACGCGAACTACAAAATCTTTATCTACATGCGATGTCCGACGCCCTATTGCTCTCAAGAACGCCATCTCGCTGGCTTCGTTTGTGACGTTGCCATCTTCTTCTGCTAGGCGCTTTATGTTGCGCGTTCTGCAAACTCTGTCCCAATGGCCTATCTTCTTACAGCTGCGGCATGTCGATCGAAGCGCTGGGCATCTCGCGCTTTCCGTATGTTGATCCAGTCCGCATCTCTGGCACGAGGCTCCTTTGTTGATATTCTTTTTTCCTTCTGTGACGCCATGTTTCTTGTTATTCTTCGCGGGCCATCTCGCCCGTCCTTGCGAGATCTTACGAGATGTTTACTTCTCCGCATTCGCCGCCATTATTCTGACGCAGCAGCTTCCCGTGCTTAGCCTGTGTTTCTGCCTGACGAGCCATTATCACGGCCTTCTCCAATGTAAGATCGGCGATTAATTGTAATCGTTCCGACGTTTTTGAGTCTCTCACCCCGATGACCAACCGGTCTCTAATGAGATCCTCCTTCAATAAGCTATACTCGCACTTTTCGGCGAGTGTGTGTAGCGCTGTGACGAACGATTCTACACTCTCGTCCTGCTGTTGAACTCTTGAATTGAATTTAAATCTCTCAAAGATTAGATTCTTCTTTGGCGCGAAGTGATCTTTGAGTTTGCCCTTCACTGTATCAAACGTCGTCCCTGCGTCCATTTGCGGTAGGATCCGATTAAGAATTTCTTCGGCCTTCTCGCCCATCGTGTAGCACAATAGGTCGATTTTTTCTTTATCGCTCCTGCTCGAGAGGTTTGCTACAGAGATGTACCTCTCGAACCGTTTCACCCACGTCGGCCACGTGTCCGGCTTCATGAAGTCGAACTCGCTTGGTGCACGGATCGCGGAACCTGATGGCGGTAGCGCCTGGCTCTCTCGGCTCATTTTCCTGCGCTCACACACTATTTCTACAGACTCCTCCAGTTTTGGATACGCGACGTTTCTTTCTCGTCACGATACGGCACAGCTCGCGGTTAGATTCCGTCGTGTCGGATGCGATTCCTCTTAACTTTAACTGTAGTCACGCACTTCTGACACCATGTTGTGGTGGTCATACACCAGATAGGAAACGGGCACGGATAAAGGATTACTCCGAGCTAGTGATCACGGCGGGCGTTGCGAGAGCGTCGATCTCAAACGTGTGTGCGTACTCTCTTATCTTACTGTCCGTCCGTCTGTCTGCATCTACAGGTGGCGCCTAAGCGCTACGTTTTGTGTCTCACTCGCACAACAGTTTCCTATATCTATTTTAGACACACATACCACTCCTCTCCCTCCCCATACTCGACAGAATGCGATTGACAGTCGAACCGTACATTTCCGCTGTGCACGTACGCCGCGATGTCTCTCGCTTACCTTGTGGCTTTCGTTTCCGTAACGGTATGCGCGTCGACGCCGACGGTAGAAAATCTCGTAAACACAGAAGTGATAGAATATTTGCAGAGATACGGTTACCTAAACGAGGCAGATGTAACTACTCACACGTCGATCGAGGATGAAAAAATTAAAGAGGTTATCGCATTATTTCAAGAATACTATCAAATACCAGGTAACGGTATATTGAACGATAATACGTTAGATCAAATACGAAAACCTCGATGTGGACTTCCGGATATGCCACACCAGGAACAAAATACGGCTACAGTAAAATGGAAAAAAACGCATCTTACGTGGAACTTTCACTTAGCGGACGCAAATACATTGAAACTCGCGACATACGCATTCTCAATATGGGCGGCGAACACGTCTCTAACATTCGAACGTAAAACGTTAAATCCAGATATTTTGATATCATATCGCGGAGGAATTCACACATACATTGACAGCAGACGCAAGGAAACGATCTGCTCCGGTTTGTTCGACGGACCCGGTGCTCGCACACGCGTTTTCACCTACGAACGACCCCGTGCAAAGCACTGAGATACACGTAGACGTAGCGGAACCTTGGTATATATGGTACAATTAAACGAAAGTATATCAGAAAACAAACTACATTTACTTTACACATTAACGCACGAAATCGGACATTCATTAGGATTATCGCACAATTCGCGCGTGGATTCTCTAATGTTTCCTTACGCCACCGATAAATCCGTTACACTCCGTATAGAGGACATTTTAGCTATTCAACGTCTATATGGAAAAAATCCTAATGAAGTACCGAGTAAACGATCTCCACCGGTAACTACAGACACGCGTAAGACATCAACGCAAGATCTGTGCGATCTACCATACGTGGACAATGTACTGGTGTTGAAATATCACATATTCGTCACTTATCGAAGGAGCATATGGATGATAGCCATCAATGGTAAAAGGTACAAGGGACCACTCGCGCTCAACGGCTATCTTCGTTTTCTTCCGGCGTACGTTTCAATAAATCGTCGTGTATCAACGGCCATCAGAAGAAATTGTGATATTCGCGAATAATAAAATTTACATGATAGATTATCCGAGTTTACAATTGAAAAATGGTTGGCCGAAAACGTATTCCGACCTAAACTTTCCCGCAGAAATGCGCGTTAACGCAGCATTAGTCACCAACCGAGGACAAACGTACGTGATCTTCGATGGCGACAGCGTAGCGTTAATGAATGAATGCGACATGACTATTAGTGAATATCACTCGTTAAAATCGATATTTCCGGGAATACCACCATCTCCGACTGTAGCCTACCGATATATCGACGGTTCTCTTTATTTTCTACAAAATCGTCAATATTACAAATTCAACGAATTCACCAGAACGGTAACGAATGTCGACAATTTCGACATGAAAATACTCAACGTAAATTGTCCTGCAGACGGACTGCTAAGACAATTGCAAGATCTTCTTAATCGACTGCTCCAATCAAGTAGTTTACTCGAAAACACAGCAGAGGATACATTGGACGAATAACACGATGTTTTAAGTAAACTAATATGTCACTACAAGAGTACGAAGGCGATCAGTGTGAAAGAACGAATCATTCGATTAACATCGTGTAAAAGAGACATGTACGCGATTTCACACCGACGACGACGACAACTCTCGACGTCTCATCGAACGTACGAATGACGCGAAGATCAGAAAAGTTTTCAACAATGCGGCAGCGAAACATTACATCACGGAACACGATAGAAAAAAGGAAAAAAAAATAACGAAACGAACAATAGGCAAAAAGAATATAACGAAAAAGAAGACAGAACAGACATATAGGTATTTCTTTTTTTTTTAATCACAGTTTTTCTGAACTAATTGTTTTTTTTCTTTCGTAGCAGAACCACAGTACGTATTTTAGAAAGAAGATATCCTTTGACTGCTACTGGATACAAGTATCTGGCTGTCGGTATCGACGTCAAATTGCCCTGCGAAGTGACTATCGTTCTTGGAGACAGTCACGGCAAAGAGATGTTCCTCTCACCAACCGTATGGAGCGAGCTCGTCAAACAAAAACGCGCCATATTACCGCTTTTGCAAACCGAAAACACAAAAATAAACCGCACGCCACCGCCTATACACATTGCAGACATGACGTTGTGTTTCGGTCGAATTAACAGTATACCGACGTTGCGTCTGGATTCGTCATCTTCACTAATGACCTTATCAAAAAATACCGTTATCAAGTTATTCAATCTAGAATATTGCGTCAATCGTCTTATTTCCTCATTGAATCATCATTCAACACTGTGACTGATACAATAAACAAAAAATACACGCGTCTTCTCAATATCGCGACCAATGTGAACGATTCTACAAAAATACAAAAAACCATGTACCAAAGTGAATATTTCGATCGCAACGACATAATCGATTGCGAACTAATCGCACTGATCTTCGAACACAATTAAACCGCTTTACGAATAAACTATTGTTTGTTTTTATTAAAATGTACTCTCTCGTGTAGTAACGGCAATCTAATAAATATGTTGACAAATACAAAAACCGATTTTACATTTAATCCTAACAGGATAATAATAATAAATAAAAAAGAATAATGCATCGCTTGTAAATATGTATATTGGCAAATACGAAAACCGTTTTCACATTTTATCCTAACACGACAATAAAAAAAAATAAAAAAATAATGCATCTCTTGCGCAATGTGTTACATAACGTCAAGTAGCGATAAAATAATCGCGACGCAAGTGTCTCGTCGCTCAGCCTTACATTAGTCATCGTACAGATTACGCTACAACGTTCCAATATTAATATGACGATTAACTCCGGCGCGAGACCACGAAGCTGTATGAATAATTCGCGCGTCGCACACGAGGAAAAAAAAAATTAAAAAAAGATGTAAATCTTCTTCAACGCACTCGAGCGCGACCTGGAATAAATAAACGTGCATTGATCTTGAAATCGGCGTAGTATAACGAATAGGACATGCATTGTGTAATAATCATACAACGTCGATTATCTCTGGAAGCGCGACCCAGAGGCAACGACTAGATCGCGCGTAACGAACAACGAGAAAATAGAAACAGAAAAAAAAGGTAAAATCGTCTGACGCGCGCACGCGAGCGAAAACCACAAATAAATAAATATTCGTACTATGAATAGAATTAACGCATTTGATACTATTGAACATTACTCAACGTAACGATCGGTTTTTATACTTCAGTTTTGCGATAAAAAAAATAAAACGAAACGATAAGCAAAAACGAATAACAACACGCAAAACAATGAACGCGACGAACGCGCGATGCGCACCGCGCGTGATCGCGCTACGAGGAGAAGTAACGATGACGACAACGACAAAAGCAAGACAAGGATCGCCCTGACGTGCGCTTGCGCGACCATTGCGCCGCTCGCGAGAGGCGCAATGGAGGCGCACGCGAAAACCGCGGGAATGAGATAACCTGTAAGAGCGCGCGCTCGCGGAGAGCGAGACATAACCTCGCTTCGCTCGCCGCAGCGAGCGCGCTTATGCTAATACCCCACGCGCGTGGATATCGCGCGCGCCGCCCGCGTCGTCGAGCGTCGCGACGTTGTCATGGAAACGGGTCGCCGTCTCCCACCAACGACGCGTGACCTTCGGTAACCGGCGATTCGATTTCTAACTCAAACGCACACACGCACACTCCCACGCACACAAGCAAAAGCGAGCCACGCGATTGGCTGTACGACCCCTGGACAGTTCTAACTCACGTCTGTGGAATTCGAATATACATAGTCTATCTACTAGCATTCGTTATAACCAGAGCTGATAAAAAGCTCAATAAAAAGTGAGTAATCAAGTGAGTGACAACACCACGCAGAGGTCGACGCCCGGAGCTACCACGGTACCAAGGAAAGCTGCCAGGACCCGAGGCGTTACGAGGACCAACCACCAACGACCTTGCATCAAGACGGTGTCAACAGAGGAGACAACACGACATCGACAGCTGACACGGACTGCCGACTCCGCAGAACTTCACATCCGAACAGCTGAGCGAGCCAAGCAGCGCAACAATGACGCGAGCGTTTTTCCTAATGTAAGTCGAATTCATGTAAAGCGATACGACTGTGTATGTCTGATGCAAAAGACACACAGAAAACCGATTCGCGTAATCGTAGATTAACAATCGACACCGCCGAGCGAGCAAACAGCGAACTGCCGTTAAATACAAATAATAACGCGCGCGATAATCCCAGCTAGCAAGGTCACGTGATAATGACGTGAATTTTTTGTACAAAAACGTCAATTATGACATAAAAGTAACGTTATTTTGACGTATATATCACGTGATTACGTCACATCTTATTGACGTTATTTTATTACGTCAGGGAGACGTAAATATGACTAAAAAGTACTATTAGTGTCACTACTAGTGCAATAATGCGGTAGTAAATTCGTATATACTTCATGTAGAAATTTAAGTAGAATACCGATCAGTTTTCCCTAATTACTGTTAGATTGTTAAAGTAAGTATACTAATTAGCATCAACTTTAGAATGAAATCGTGAAAAATAATTTTTTCTCTAAATTCGAGAATTAATTTTTTTTCATGATGCATCCCAAACGGTCACCCATCCGAAGTTGTACCACGACCTTGCATGCTTAACCTTGACAATCGTACGGGAACTGCTGTACTTCGATGACCCACGAATCTGTATATGTCAATGTCTGTATAATTGTGATATATCTGTTCAATGGAAATATTAAAAACAGATGGTTTATGTGTTTATATGATAGTGTATGTATTAGTGTATGTATCATTTCCGCAAGTGTAATGCGCATGACATCATTTTATCCTTGTTTTTCATCGAATATTAAAGGATAAAATGATACATCAAATAATAATACACAAATAATAACAAAAAAATAATTGATTAGTAATGGTCATATATATGACGTCAATGTAACATCTAGCTGACGTCATATCGGTGACGTCAACTTTTGGTATTACAAATGACGTCAAAATAATTCCATTTATGTCACTTGACGGCATTGTCATCAAAATCACTTCATAATCACGTCATTATCATGTGAGCTTGCTAGCTGGGATATAATCAGTAATTTAAATCAGTCGGTCGAAAACGACGTAGACTTACCCACTAACGTGATAATAAATCGCTAATATCAGTTAGATTTAAACGATTTTAACTCAATAAAACAAGACGCGACAAAACGCGATAAAAATATAATTGACACAGACGAGACTACTCAAAACAGCCGTGACATGACGACGCATACTCCACCCAGGGACCACACCCCTGAACGTTTATTAACGACAGGCGAAGATAACGCCCAAAATATAAGCAACCAGCAAAATCGCGGAACTCCTGAGAATAGGCATGGAAGAAGAGTGACCTTTCAAACAGACCACTCTGAAGATGAGAACGACACGCAAGATTCAATAGAAACGCGAGTAACAAATAAACAGGACGAAGTCCTGATCGTTTGATAGCAACCATTACCGGTTTACAAGATAGAATGGACCAAATGGAATTTACTAATAACCGCGAACCAGGAAATGTTTGATCCACCCGACATGACAACAGAATTTTACGCCATTACATTATTCAGTTATTATGATAATAGAACAATGATGTTCATCTCTAAAGGTTAGACAGAATTATAATTTTATTATTAACGTAATTTATTAAAAATATTTTAGAGAACATCAATGTAGACATACTGGAAAAATACCGTTCGGATACCATTACCAAAAAAGAGAAATCATAATAATTTCTTAATACTAAACATTAGAAAGAAGCATAAATGATGTAAAAGAAGAATATCTGTTCATTTTTATGTACGTTTATTATAAAGTTAATTATACGTAGTTTGTTATACCTGTGATACCTATATGACTTCAAATTCGTTATTGTATGTTTCTTTCTAATGTTCAGTATTAAGAACTTTTTATGATTTTTCTTTCTTGGTGATAGTATCCGAACGGTGCTTTTCTAGTATATCTACATTGACGTTCTCTAAAATATTTTAACATAATACATTCTATTATTGAAAGATAATGCAATGGAAGTGAATATTTATTAATTCCAATGTCAAAATCTTTTACATATACATAATCAAATACACTAATAAACGTAATAAGTGTATTGGTGTAATGTTATTACGAAATTGATTAACAGAACAATCGTTCTTCACAATATTAATTATGAATTAGAATAATATTTTGAATCTGTATACTTTAAATTTAAAAAGAATTCTTATGTGCTCCACAATCTTGAATCAGATATAGTGTTCTAGGTGAGAGATCAAAATAATAATTTTTTATATTTCAAAAATAAATCACAAAAGATCAGTATTAATTTTAATAGAATTCTTATACCAAATTGTCTATTTTAACGTAATACATTTTATTACTGAAAGATAATGAAATAGAAATCAATATCTATATAAAAAACCTTGGCATACGTAATGAGATATTCAAGTACATGTTCCAGTTAGACTTAGTCAAATCAGAAAG